GCTCCCCTGGTCACCGCCGAAACCTGGGGTTCCAGGCTCAGCGATGAGTCCAGGATCACACCCAAACTGCGAACCTGCGTCTTCAGGGGGAGTGCGACCCCGTCTAACACAGGCTGTAACCCTATACCCTGTTCGGCCTTGCGACTAACCAGGAGTACCTCTGTCTTGTCTGGATTCAATTTCAATTTGTTCGCCCCCATCCAGACCGTCACAGCGGCCAAGCACCGGTTCAGGACCTCGACAGACTCCTTAGTAGCAGGTGGAAAGGAGTGACAGAGTTGGACATCATCTGCGTACAGATGACATCGCACTCCGAAACTCCGGATGATCTCGCCCAGCGGCTTCATGTAGATGTTAAACAACATGGGAGACAGTATTGAACCCTGAGGAACCCCACAAGACAAAGGTTGTGGAGTAGAACAGGAGTCTCCCAGTAACACCTTCTGAGACCGACCCTCGAGGAATGAGCGGAGCCACTGCAGAACAGTACCTCCAAGACCCATCCCCGCGAGGCGTCCCAGAAGGATACCGTGGTCGACGGTATCGAAGGCCGCTGAGAGGTCGAGCAGCACCAACAGGGACACACTCCCCCTGTCGAGCTCCCGACGCAGATCATCCACTAAGGCGACCAAGGCTGTCTCGGTACCATGCCCCAGCCTAAAGCCAGACTGTGCCGGATCCAGATAATCCGTGTCTACCAAGAATGCCTGGAGTTGTGAGGCCACCACACGTTCCATGACTTTGCCCAAAAAGGGGAGATTGGAAACAGGCCGATAGTTGACGAATTGAGTGGGGTCCAGTGATGGTTTCTTCAACAGCGGTTTTATCACAGCTTGCTTTAAGCTGGCTGGAATTTTGCCCTCCCGAAGGGAGGCATTAACCACCACCTTCACCCACTCGGCCAATCCCCCTCTGGCCTCCTTCAGAAGCCAGGATGGGCAGGGGTCTAGGATGCATGTGGTAGCTCTCATTCCTCCAAGCACCTTGTCCACATCCTCGGATTGAACCAATTGAAATGAATCCATCAAAATTGGACAAGCAGATGCTCGTGTTACATCCTCAGAGACTGCCGTTAATATGGTATCCAGTCCAGAGCGGATCAAAGCGACTTTGTCTGCAAAGAACTGAGCAAAAGCTTCACAGCGAGCTGCCGAGTCATCAGGGCACCCATCCTGAGTGGTGGGTTTTAACAGGCCTCTGACAACTCGGAACAGTTCAGCCGGACGGTTCTTTGCAGACGCAATAGTGGCCGCAAAGAAAGTCTTCTTTGCGGCTTTTATTGCCGCGGCATATGCCCTTAGAAAGGACACAAACCGTGTTCGATTTGGCTCGCTCGGATCCGAACGCCACACGCTCTCTAGTTCCCTCTTCTTTCGCTTCAACGCTGCCAGTTCCTCGGTAAACCAAGGGGCTGGTTTAGCTCGGCTACTTGAGAGGGGACGTTCTGGAGCGATCGTGTCTATTGCCCTAGTCATCTCCCCATTTCAGAGAGCGACCAGAGCATCAACAGGATCACCAACCGAGGTGGCGGGAAATTCCCCAAGAGCCGTCAGGAATCCATCCGGATCCATAAGCCTCCTGGGGCGGACCAGCTTAATGGGTCCTCCACCTCTGCGGAGGTTAGGAGGTGCAGTGAGTCTAAAGCTGACCAGGTGGTGGTCGGTCCATGGCAACGGAGAGATGGATAACTCCTCAACACCGCCACCTTCCTCCCATCCCTGGCAGAAAACCAAGTCCAATGTATGTCCAGCACTGTGGGTGGGGCCAGATACCTGTTGGGACAGCCCCAAGGTTGCCATGGTAGACATGAAGTCCTGAGCCGCTCCCGATAAGGTAGTCTCGGCATGGACATTGAAGTCCCGCAGCACAAGCAGCCGTTGGGACTCCAATGCCAGGTCCGAGACCACCCCCGCTAGCTCAGGCAGGGAGACTGTAGTGCAGCGAGGTGGACGGTACACTAACAGAATCCCTAATCTGTCCCGGTCACCCACCCTCAGGTGGACGCATTCAAAATTTGTTGACTGCGGGATGGGGGCCCTGGTCAGAAGAATGGAATCTCTATAGACCACTGCAACTCCGCCTCCCCGCCCTCCGGATCTCGGTTGGTGCTGCACAGAGAAACGTGGCGGGCAAAGCTGGGTCAAATTTACACCTCCCGCTTCGTCCAACCAGGTCTCTGTGATGCACGCCAGATCTGCCCGTTCATCCAGGATTAAATCCTGGATGAAAGTTGTTTTACCGTTGACAGATCTGGCGTTCAACAGCACCACTTTCAATTCGGAGGGACCGCCATCCTGGTTACACCAACTTGTCATATCAGGAGACCGACTTGGAATTACTAATGTTGTTCCACGTTCCCTAGGCCGAATTAGAGGTCTCCTTTTCCCGTATCTCCCCCTCCCCACCACGACTTCTATGGGGGCTCCCCGGTTAACGGAAGCCTCTCCCTCCTCCATGACGCATTCAGCAGCCATAGTATCAACCCATAATTCATTGTTGACTGTTTGATATATTATAGCTTTAAATTGCCATAGTCTTGCCTTCCATTCATTTCCCGCTCCTATTATGTTATACTCGGGACTTTCTGAATTACTCCGTTCCCTCTCTCTACCATAAACAATTAGCAGCAAGATTAACAAATGCCAGGGAATGGGTAGTGACATGGATGGTAGTTGTTAAACACTGACAAAGGAGTTTCGCTAAGGGTCTTAAAGTGCAGATAAAAAATTGTGTCAGCATACACGATAGTATAAGTAATTAAAGTGCAGTAGCTTATCAATTGGTTCTAAAGTGCTAAATGAAATGCGTCATGGAGGACTCAATTTCAGCGCTGGATGGTTGAGTCGGTTAAAGTGCTAGAGCTCAGTAAGATTAATGGACCACAGAAGTAGTAATTTAAAGTGCTGGTAGAGTAAAGTGCTAGAGTCACACAGGATAATTGTGCGCTGTACTTATTAACAGTGTAGCGGTTAGTTCTTAATTCTTAGTTCTTAATTTCTCTGTTCAGTCATTAAATATAGTTGTTATTATTACTGCAGTTAAAGCCCCCCCCCCCGCCTCTCAGTTTTATAATGCTGTCTCAAAAGATGTATCAGGTAACAAAATAGACAACACAGTCCTTCTAAAATTAACGCTGATGGGGTCCTCTCCACAACCACCATAAAGGATGGTCAACACAATCAGCAAAGGTGGACAGCACAGTCAAATCAGCAAGGTGGACAGCAAAGGCGGACAGCACAGTCAAAAGCGGTCACCAAAGTCAGGGGAGGTCAACACAGATAAAAATGTTCAACACAGTCGAAAAGATGGTCAGCACAATCAATAATGGTCAGCACAATCAACAGAGGTGGTCTGCAGAGTCAAAGGAGGTCAGCACAGACGGACTAGCGATGATCAACACAATTTAACCAAAACTGGAGCAACGAGATGCCAAAAGATGGCGATAATTAGGCCACAAGATGTTCAACCCAGTCTTCCGGAGTTGGTGGTTACCAGATGGAATAATGGAATTTCGTACGATGGCGGAATGGAATAATGGAATTTTCGTACGATGATAATTGTTGTTATTGTTATTATTTCAGAGATTTTTCTGCCAGAGCAGACCCAAGGCAGCTCACATCATCTTTAAAAATATGCGTAGTAACATAAAACCATTAACTAAAACAGATAATAAAAGTTTCAAGATTTCTTCTTATTAGATTTCTCCTAGATTAGATTTCTCTCCATATTATAAACAATAAAGTTAAAATCAGTCTAAAATTCCCCATACAACCATCCGGAAGCATAAGCAATCCCCTTTCTGATTTTTATATCCATTGGTTGACATTTCTATTCCTGCAGAATTTTACCTTCCAAATGTTTGTTGGTTTACGTAAAGGCTATGTTTTATTTTGTACTTTTAATGTATTTTGGTTGTGTTTTATGATAACTGCATTTCAAAATATTTTAAAGACAGAATAAAGAATGTATATATGAAATGAACAATTAATAAAAAATGCAAAAGTTTATGAACTAGTAATAACAAAGCTTGATGTCACTGCATCCTGCAATTATATAATACAATATATATATTTTCTTTCACCAAATATTACTGTGTGAATTGGGGTTTTTCTTATTCTGATAGTCAATAACCCTGTGAAAATTGACTCATCTCACCTTTCCAACCTGGCACTTTCCAGATTTTGATCTTTTGTGCCTACAAAGTGTTTCTAACTTATGGTTCTCCTAAAGCAAAGTGGACCCTAATTTCCATCCTAGCCTGCATATTATAGTTAGGCGTGGCTGCCAGATCTACAGTGAAAGAAGCTGATAGAAAGAGAATCAACAATTTGTAATATGGTGCTGGAGGAGAATTCTGCTGATACCCTGCACTGCCAAAAAGAAACATAAATCAGTCCGAGAGCAAATACAGCTCAAACTCTCCCTAGAAGTCAGGATAACTAAACTTAGACTGTCATGCTTTGAAAATGTTATGAGATGAAATTATTACTTTGAAAAGGTAATACTTTTTAACCAAAAAGGCAGTGTGGAAAGAGAAAGACCACATTTCAGATGAGTAGACTCAATCAAGGAAGTGAAGGACCTGAGTCTGCAAGACCTGGGCAGGACTGTTGATGGTGAGCTGACTTCCATTAAATCACAGGGTTTCCATAAGTTAGAGTTGTCTAGATAACAATAATAATAACATTTTATATGTGTCAGGATGAGGAAGTCAGAATTATTTTATTTTATTTATTTATTTGCTTCATTTTTATACCGCATTTTCCAGCCCTTGACAGGCGACTCAATGCGATTTACAGTGCAATTAAAACACAACAATACAACAACAGGGTCGACGACGTCGCTCCACAACAATTAACAATCAGACAGATTATAAAAATTACGCAGTACCTTTCTTAAAAATTTTTTTTTCAAAAGTTTATGAACTGGTAATAACAAAGCTTGATGTCACTGCTTCCTGCAATTATATAATACAACATATATTTTTTTTCTTTCACCAGATAAAAATTACCCACAAGAACCAAGCTCCAATGCTGATGGGGCCACCACCCAAAACTGGCCTCTTCTCTTCCATCATTAGCAGAACACGGAACCGCAGCAAAGAATAAGCTTCTTTCATTAAATCCTTATAAAATCAAATTAATAGGAATTTGGAATATGTGTGCTGGAAACCTTTCAGTGGGTTTAAAATGTTCTCTACTATATAATCATGGAACCTTGAAGAACAGTTTCTGTGACTGGGCTAAAATAAAATGATACTATTAAAATAATTTACATTTTGCCAGAGTTTTGTAGGCATTTTGCATGAATAAAGCTAATATTTACATACAGTGATAAAGTATATTTTTGTTGCATGCATTGTCATTACTACTTTATAGGATAAAGATATGCTGCAAAATGTCAGGGAAAATGCAGTGCTGCTGGAGATATGATTGTCTTGGAATGTGACTCTCAATATGCTTGCATCAGATTGGTCTTTCAGGTGACATATTAAACTCATTGGGTGTCCTCTGAAGAAAGCACTATGAAATGTATGGCAGCTTTGGTTTGATATCCTTTTTTCTTAATGCTGATGAATGAATCATACTCCACATTAGTATTATCCAGTTGTCCCTTTTCAAATAGATCATGGAAGATCCCATCACTGCAACACTGAATTGTGAAAGACTAATGTAATTTAATTCATTGAGAATAAAAGTTAAAAATGAAAAACACCATTGGAGTGGGGATGGGATTTACTTCCAAGTTAGAACATCTAATAGTAAGTAGTCTATGTTTAACACTGTTGTCACACATACAACATATTTCTGAGGTAGTGGGTCATTTCACACAATACAAGAAGCAATCTTGGATTTGTCACAATGTTTCTGCTGAACATGAAAATACATTCATTCCTGGCCTCTGCTAAGTGTAGATTTGTAATATATGTGTTTCCACACAAGTGTCACATTTACATATCAGTATTATAAGTGTACACATTAAAACTGCTCATACATTTAGAAATGGACATCTGAGTGTAATACATGAAAACTGCAGTGACATCACCAGTCTTAGCAACATTTCAATCTTCTTGCAATTTTACATGGAACACTACAATGCAGAAAGTGTGCAAATACGTGACTAAATCATAAAGCATATTTTCCTACCCCAAAATATTTATGAAGGCTTCAAGGAACTACATTAATATATACATACATATAGAATTCTGGATCATTATTTTACTTGTTTCTCAAGTCACTTCTAACAAGAAAAAAGCTAAATGCCTGCTGAAAAGGGGTGTGAAAAATCACAAATTACAATTTATATATTATATGTCCATCTTTTGTTTATTTTGTAATGACTTTTCATCAATCAAAGATAGGGCATGATGTTTGCATGGTATTTCCTATAGTTTTGTATTTATGTTACAAAATTTTGTTGTAATAATTTAGGGACAATTTAGGAACTCTTCTTGGGTATGCTTCCATACTCACTTGAGAATTTCTGCATGCATAGACACATTGGATCAGAAAGATTCATTTATGGCTATCATGTGGGTCTCCCTCCTTCCCTCCATCCATCCATCCATCCATCCAGAAAGGCAAAGCCATTCAAGTTGCTGTCTTTCCCTTTGCTTTCTTTTCAATATAATTTTATTGCAAATATATGACAAATGAAGAAAGGCACAAGTGTGGATATAGAATGGGGCCATTCTTAAAATCTTTTGTCATCTTTCATTGCTGTCTAATATGAAATAGGTTTCTGTGATGTTAAAAAAGAAAAGAGAAATAAAAAAACTTTTTTTCTAATCTAAAACAGGATAGAAAAGTGGATTTACAGTGTTTTGAAACAAGAGATAGAAATGTTCAGAAATGGAAAATAGAAAGCCCCAACTAATGCTTCCTACACTGTCTCTGCAATATATATATATATATATATATACATATATATATATATATATATATTCTATTCTTTTTGTCATAAAAACTTCTTAATTGTGGTAGATTAACTTTCCAGGATCCTTTGAATACCATTGGGGATCCTGTTGTTCTTCTTACTGACTTCTCTATTTCTTTTCTTGTTATTCCTTCATCCCTGTACTATTAATTTTTCCTTGGTGCTATAGAAAACCCAATATTTTCATTTTTCTTCTTCTTTTAAATAGTCAATAAAAGACTGGCGTTCTTCTTTAAATTTGGAAGAATCTGGTGATTATATAAGCCTAATCAATTTGTCCATCTCTAATTATTACAGTGCTAGATTTCTTCTGCAAGTTTGGGAGGATCTGGCAATTGTACCAGAGCCATTGTTTTTATAATCCATAAGTCTTAAATGGGAATTTCTTTTTGTTTCTGGTAATCGCAAATAATGAAAAACTCTTCTCTTATTTGGCACATTTAGTCCATTTATATTTAAAGAAAGTATACTCAGAGTCTTCATTTCTGAAATAGTAGGTGATCATCCAATTCATCTCCTCCTAACCTCCCAGTGTTCTCTTTCTCCTTTGTCCTCTGATCTTTTCTCTGGATCTAGTTCCTTTCTGAACCTCTCATAGAAATCCTGAGCCTTCATATCTGATATAACCAATACTTTTGACCTTTATAAGATATCGTTTGTCCTTTTTTTGCTTTCTTGAATCCAAGAACATCTTCTCTTATGATTTCTCTTAATTTCTGATCCTCTGAAAAATGAATTAACAGTATAGAAACAAGGGGCATGTTTCTGCCATATACGTGCCATTGTCTAATGGGGTAAGCCAGTTCAGCCAACAGTTTTTGGTGTCGTATAAAGAAAACTTACACTTAAACATGTACTTGGTTAGTAAATTACCTTTGGGAAATTCTCATTGGATGGATGCAAGTTTAACCAATGGAACTTCAGGAAGGCATAAACAAGACTTAGTTTGAATTTTTCTCTCTTTAACTGAACTTTGGTTGTGCATGTTTCATCTGTGCATGTTTTACTTTCTCCATCAAGAAATGTAGATTGTTTGCAGTGCATGATTTATTAATACTCTACCTTTTAATCTATTCCATATGATGCTAATGATTTTTTCAGATCTCTTTTCCGATTGATTATTGATTGATTCATTCTTATGAAATGCAGAAGTTTATTCTTTTTCTTTGATCTTTCTGTTGTGTGTGGAATTGTGCATGAACGTTAAATGCATTAGATGCAGTTTGATTTCATTATAGAATTTGGTTGATTCCTGTATATAATTTATGATGAATACAGAAGAATTAAATTGTTGGTAAAAGCACTGTACATGAAAATTACTCATAGCGTTCAGTAAACATTAGCAGAGAAATACCTATGGATGTGATATTCAGCATCAGGCTAAGAAGTTAGATGTCTGTCACCTAAGCTAAGTCTGTATAGTTTAATTATTTATGGGTCAACATATATATCTAGTAGTGCAAGAAATATCATTCTCATGTAAGTGATATAAAAATGTACACCTACATTTGATGCAGTGGCTACTTTGTATATTCATGATTCTAAGCCAAATATATCTTGTTGCGTCTGTACCACATGACGTGTACATTGCTTTTATGGAATTCTGGTGACTGGCAATAAATATTTTCACCTGCTGATATAGTGTTCTTCCCATGTCATTCAGTTGTAAAGTCTTTAAGAGTTTCCATTAGTGTCTCCTATATGATAATTGCAATGACAAAATATCCCTGAAAACCATAAGTACATTTTTTTCCAGTTTTCAGGACCACAACTCATAATTCCTTTCTGTATGGAAGTAATTGCTTCTTTATGGCTTCTCCTCACTGTGTTATTGAAGAAACCGATCTGTGTTAGGGATAGTTCTAGGGGGAAAAGTACCCATTAGGACAAACTGTCCTGTCTATTGATTGAGAGGAAACAGTATCTGTGATACTTTCCAAGGCAAATCTGGACAAAGTCTCTTTGAATTGTATTGAGGTATTATTAAGATAAGACACAAAGGTGTGCTCTCCTTGATCTCATAAGGATGGGGTTGGGAAAACAGTAAAAATATTTTTGAGTAGCAGAAGAGCTACATAGATTTACATTGAAGTTCTTCCTACTTTATTTCTGAGTCTGTGAAGAAAGAAAAACACAGTGGATAAAGATTATGAACTTTTTTTGCTCTTATCTGCCTCCTGAAGCTGCTGTTGTTCAAGTCAGTTCCAATTTATGGTGACACTATCATAGGGTTTTATTGGCAAGATATTGCTTTCCTCTAAGGCTGTGAGAGTAAGGCTGTGAGAGTGTAACTTTCTCAAAGTTATTCTGTGGCTGAGTTGTGATTCAAACTCTGACTCTAAAGAAAAATGAAGATTGGATAGAAGCAAGCAAGAATTGGAAAACTACACCACACTGGTTCATCTCCCAAAACTGCAATCCAATTTATACATGGGAATAAAATACATTTGACAAAAAAGGCCCATAATTCTGAGAACCTATCCTGTCATTAGGAAGCAGAAGCAGAATTGGGGTGGGGTGGGGGTGGGGGGAGATCAAACTTTTTAACAACATAGGCTTATGTTACTAAGTTTTAAAAAACCAAAAATAATCAAATGAAACTGGCACTTTTTAGATAATTTACCTTATTTAAAAATGATGGATAGTTCTTTCTTCTGTTTACAGGTTTCATTAGGTAATACTTCCTGGAATAATTGCTGTATCTCAATAAATATGACCCACAAGCAGAAATAGATTTCTTTTCGAGGCAGCAAAGATACAGTCCATCTCCTTTATTCTGAAAGTGTCTCTAATACAGTACTATAGAGACAATTTTCCCTTTCTTTATGAATTTCTTTGTGTTTTACAAGACACTTCCGGCATCCAGGCATTGCATATGTTTTCTTCCGATGAATCAGAGTTTACTAAAGATGCACCTTGGGAAGCTTTGCAGAAGTGACTCATATGAAAGAGTAAGCAGCAGTAACCACAGCATTTGGGTATTTACAGAAAAAACAACACCTGTGTTGATGATAGACTAGCACAATTCAATATTTACCAAGTGTTGCTATCAAATAAACACAGAGTGTCATTCTCAGAAGTTGCCAGACCCAGGGATTGAGATCAAAATACTGACTAGCTAGCTTGTCCCTGTCTGTTTAGGAGTTTGCACTGGTACCCTGTTGTGCATAGATTTAGCCTAACAAATTAACTCAAGTTCACACGCTGCTGCAGGGATTGCAGAAAAGGGGAGTTTCTCTTTTGTCTAACAGCAGATGAAAGTCTTGTCTTGCCATTTATACACATATGAAGCATAAGTCACTTCCAGTCAGACCTGGATAAGACCATCTTATCCCAGTCTGGGAATATGCCTTGAGAAGGAGCAACCTCTCCACTCAACAATGCCTATCACTCTTCATAGTGCTTTTGTTTGTAAGATACTTGGAGCTAAGAGAAATTTTATCATGCTAAACTAACCACTCACCAGCTAGGATGAAATAGAGCCCCGGAGTTCATTTTTAAAAGTACAGTGTGCAAGAATTTTCATACTTCAGGGAAAACTGATAAAACTAGTTGTTATTCATGTTTATCTTCTTATATGTACAGCATCATCAAACTTTATGATGTTTTACATTGGGTGGGAGCAACCTATGGTCCTCTAGATGATAGTCCATTTCTCACCAATGGATACACTAGTTAGCACTAACAGGAATTGCAGTTCATTGAAACATATAATCATAAACTCATGTATTGCTTAACTACAATTTCAAAAAGAAAAAAAGAATAAGTTGTGAAGTCACAATAAATGTTTTGTGCAGGAACATAAACACTTGAAAGGATCGCTTTGTAGGTGGATTATCTGAGAATAAGAGACAGTAAGTGAAAAGAACTTTGAGAGATCTTGAAAGCAAATTAAGGTATAGAAGATAAAGACAAAAGATACAATGACAATATAAAAATAGAAATTGTACAAGGACATGATACTCCTTTAGATGAATATATTAGAAATGAACAAAGTGAACAAGAACCTTGATATGAATTTGAGGACCTAGTAGTGTTTACCCTATAGAAAAGACAATAATATTTGACTTGAATGTAAATATGTCCTGAAATTTCTAATCCAAATACCTCCTCTCTCAGGCAGCCTCCAAATGGAGGTATCACAAAATGAACCACACAGTTATCCACCACACCCTTCTATCTTTTAAAATTTAAATTCCACTCATCTGGCTGAAGTGATATTTGGTCCCAGGCTACTAGGGGGAAAGGGAAGTTTTGTTTGCCACATTGGGTGCCTGATGTAGGTCACTTAAGTTGCTACTATACAAAGATCTCTTCATTCTTGGAAAGAAGACAATACCTCCTGGGTTGCCTTCTTGACCAACAGCTGCACAAGGCATCTGCTCTAATATAGGAAGGTAAGAATCTAACCACATCTTCATTAATGTTGGTTTTTGCAGAGTAGTGAACTTGCCATAATGAATGTTTGGAGACCAGGTTGATGGGATGGAATAGGGCTGGACAAGTCTTAAGGTAGAGGTTTTGACTTTTATGCGAAATTCCAATTTCAAATCAAAATTTATGCCTCAGAAGTGAATTATATCTACTCACTAGAGGTAGAATAAATATTTGAAAAGATTCCATCAATGGTGAGAGAGAGATATTTCCAAATGTTTGGAAACTCTGATGGAAAATGTTTTTCCTCTCAGGTTTTTGCACTGAAAGCATTTTGTTCAGAATAGAACATTCCAAATGATTTTTATCCCCAAATTCCAAAACCGTTACTACAGTCCAAACTTTGTGTTGTTTAGTTACTATTAAACAACACAAAGTTTGGAATGTCTAAGTAAAATAATCCCACAAATAATTATTTTTAGCATTTTTAATGCTGGAGAACAATTGTATCATGCTTAGAATTAATATGATCAATTACTCTCCAATTAGGTGAGATGTGTTGGACTATAAATTCCATTATTGCTATGCAG